ATGTCTGTCTCTATCTCTGGATGTCCTTCGAGTTGGCAACGGAAAGCAGCAGCAGCAGCAGCAGCAGCAGCAGCAACAGCAGCAGCAGCGCTGGTAGCAAACAACACGCCACGCGGCCCCCCATCACCACACCTGTGCAATGGAGTGGTGCCCGACCCTCCTAGCCGACTGAGACACGTCAAGGAGGTGTCGCAACACCAAGCGCCGGCTGCGCACCCCAGGCCTCTCGTGGTGCAGAACCCTTACCATCGCCTCCCTGCACGACGCAAACCATAACGAAAAAAAAAAAGAAGGAAGCACGCCAGCACATGGTTCGGGACGGGCGACGGCCGGGGGGCGGGAGAGGTAACCACCTTCGTGTCCATCATCCATGGCTGTTGTTGTAACGCAGGCGTTGGTAATGTTCCTGGCGACTTGGTGGGGTGAGATGCTCTAGCTAGCGCAAAGGTTCCACGAGAGGGTTCCTTCCTGATACCGTCAGCCCGCCCCAACACAAGCCACACGCACGTAAGCCGTGGTGCCAAGGATCCCGAACACCTCTGACCAGATACGTTCGCCCCCCTTCTCCGCCGTTGCAGGGATGCGAACATATGGTCTATCGTCTACCGACTCCCGCACGCGCTTAGATGAGTACCGACTACCGCATGCCTTGACATGGATACAACTCTTCCTCCCCCTTCTCCTCCACGGGAATGGATGTATGTCGATTGACGGTCGGGAAACACGCACGCCTGCGACATGTACCTAAGTGCCAAGACGGGCTCCAGCGACTCGAAGTGCTCCTCAACGGGTACGGACCGCGCGCGCCACCGTTCCATCAGGGTCTCCGCCTGGGTGCACACACAAAGCCGGAGGAGAGAGAGATAGAGAGAGGAAGAACAGAAGAAGGAACTTCACGAAACAGAGGAGCTATTCCATGTACCACCAGAAGCCTTCGGGAGAAGCGTCGCACTACACAGCAGTCAGATGCACGAGACTGCTGTATTGACACGGAAATACGGTAGATATCACTACTGTTGCATGCTTCTCGAGGATCATAGGCACGTAGGTCGCAACCTTATTACACTATGCTTCCATCGCGAAGTCATCCAAAGACAAACTTGCATTGTACAAGTATCTGTGAGAAGGTACAAAAACACAAGCGCAAATTATGTCCTCGGAGAAAGAATTGCAACGAGAAACCGACCGTCGATCCAACCAGCCAGTCGGGGGATAGGGGGCCCCAACATCAAACGCGGAAAGCACAGCAGGAGGCCCACAAAAGGATTTGAAAAGATGAGACTCGCGCAAACAAGGGATTTTGATTGACTGACAAGGCAGGGGAGTCTCTCTCTCTCCTGGCATCAGAACAGTCTCGTTTATTGCGCTATGTGGGATAAAGCAAGACCTATAACTTTTGCGGCAGTTCACCAGGTCGTATGTGTCGGTTCGCGTGTAACGTGCGGAAGAGGGAACAGCGGCGTGACTTCGACGATGGCACATGGATGTCTCGTCCAGGTCAGTCCTGGGGCATAATGAAGAGCTGTGTCAACCAACGCGTCTTGGAATCTCTGAGGTCAGAAAGAATGACACGAAGGCTCCTCACAGAACACTAAACAAAACCTCGATTGGACAGAGGTTTTACACAGCTACTAAATAGCAAGCACGTCACCCCCGTCCTCCTACCCTCACCGCATCGTCGACAGCGTCCCCCCCCTGCTGCCCGCCTTGCGCCCCGCCCGCCGGCGCCGAAAACACCTCGAACGCCTCCTCCAGCTCCGCGACGCACTGCAGCTGGACCAGGCACGGGTAGAGCCCCTTGCCGCCCTCCAGGCTGGCGCCGCCGCCGGACCCGAGCCGGGCGAGGGCCAGGGAGCGGGCGTTCCCCACTGCCGATGAGAAGACGGACGCGTTCCGCTGCCGCAGGGAGCCCAGAGCCTGCAGGATATGCTCGTGGAAGACCGGCCTGCCGCTGCTGTCTGCCGTGCCACCGCCGCCGCCGATGCTCGCCGCGGCGGAGGTGGCGGCGGTATCTCTGGCCGCCGCACCGCCGATTGCCGCCGCCGCCACCGCCGGGCGGTTGTTGTCGTTGTCGGCGGCACCGTTTGTGAAAGTCTTTTCTCGAAGAAAAACGTCGACGCAGACGCAAGAAACGGACCAACCAACGGGGGGGGGGGGGGG